TAGTCTGGGTCATCTCTATAATTAATTCCTTAAAAAATATGTCCAGTATTTGAGTGCTAATCAGTCATGAGAAGGCTTTTGTTTACATCTGTCCTTGTCACCCCTTGATGTGGACGCGCAATCTGTTTTGCAATCCAGGCTTAATTTAGGCATTTGAAATGGAATAGTTCATCTGCAGAGCGAAACGCTGCTTACTATTTGCATGTTACTCAAAATAAGCTGTATATACTCTGGACAGAAAAACCCCCCATCTAACAAACCCATGTTAAAAGAACCTGAATTTTGCAAAAGGCAAGCACTCAAAAGCCAAGAAATGAATTACTGCTGCTGCAATTTTTCTCTTTTTCCCACCCCCAAAGCCTTCTGCCCTTGCTTCTGTCCTCAAGCCAGTGCAGTCCAGGCCCTATTCCTTCCTTTCTTAGATTTTCACACTTTGTTACCTAAGCCACGACTGCTTGCCCTCCAACAGCCCACTGTGAGAGCCCTGGGCTCAGGACCACAGAGACTGGCAGCAGCTAAGAGAAGCAACTGCAAGGAGAGACCTGAGCTGGGAAGTGCTTAGGTGCATGGCGGGGATAAGGACCTGTGAGGTGACAGAGCGGTGCAGGAGTCTCTAGCTAATTTAGTTGCCAAATGTTAACGATTCAACACTGAGCACGTGCAAACTGCTTTTTCAGAGGCTCATACATTAGCCAAGATCTTCCCAGGGAGGGCAAAAGGACACCAGCCAAATTTCAGTAGCGCCACAGAAGGGAGATGCTACAGCTTCTCAATGAGGCAGCCGAGTTGGTTCTTGTGCAACATGAGCAAATCAAATGTTTTCCTTCATGTCGCTTTTGGAGAGAAGCGACTCATGACATCCTAAAAAAGAGCTCAATACGAGGCAGATACACAACATGGAAAATATCACCACCTGGAATGACTGCAGTTAGGAGGAGCTGAAAACAGGTCCTTGTGATAGAAACTGTCAGGCGACCTTAATTGCAAGTGTTACTACCTCTACCCTCCATCACAACATTCAACATTACCCAGAGTCTGCAGAAGGAGCTGAAAATACTTATTTATTAAAATACTAAATCACAATAAGCTTGGTTTTTGTACTGCTCCGTCCTTGCACAGAGCCGTAATCTATGATTAAGGTGAGGTTTATGTAAAACCTCCTTGCAAAAATGGTAATGTTTGCACCTATTGTGTATTTTATGATGATTTGGGTTGTCATGGCAATAGGTATTGCTTTTCATACTGTGTAAACACTTCAGTTACTGAAAAGTGCTAAACAAGCTTCTTGCTACTGGGAGGGAATTAAAATGATAGACTCACTACAAGGAGATAATCTCCATTAAGTCAGAGCCAGTGTGATATATTGGCATTGGTCCTACCATCTATTCCAGGCTTCCTGGAATTATTAATTTCAGAGAAAAGGTTCTTTTTTCCCACTTTTCCTCTGAAGCTTGTTTTAAAAAGACCTTGAAATGTCTTCAGGAGAAAAAGCAGATGGATCCCAGAAGCAGGGTGTGCAAAGCCTGGAGTAATCACTGGACCACCGGTCGGTATCTGGTGATCGTGTAACATGGTCTTTCTGTAACACAAATCTTTCCCACCTGACTCTCTCCCTGGGAAATCCCAGCTGCATTGGCTCAACTTACCATCCCAATAGGCTCCTCCTGGGTAAAAAAAACCCATTGCATCTGCCCCGTGTTGAGCTCTTTTTCAAACTGCATGGGTCACTTCTCTCCAAGAGTGACATAAAGGAAAAGATTTGATGTCCATGTCAGCTTCCTCTCCGCTGGGCGCATGCATCTTCAGCCAGGCTCCGGACACAGCCCAGCCACGGTCATCAGCCCTTTCCTTTTTAACTGCTCCATTGAGCTTCAACACCCAGCACAGGTGGAGTGGGGCAGAGCCGATGGGAGACACTGCAGTTCATCAGCTCCTTCTGGGCTAGCATGGGGCTCTTAGGCCCCATCACAGCAAGGCTTCACAACCAGCCTCAGCACCAACCTGTTTACCTCTTCCTAGCACTGGGCAAACATAGGCTAATTTCTACTCAGAACACCCTGGTGAGCAAGGTTTAACGGCAGTTTAATGGTGGAAAAATGCATACAAAAACTGTAGCTACAACTACCTATTCAGTTTTACCCCTGGACTCAGCTGTGATAGATTGAGTAGAATAAAGTAATACCAGGCTGATGCCCATAACAGACTGCATAATGGGTGGTGAGACCAATATATGGCTGCAATAATCTTACCAGTAAAATGTGCACTGGACAAAAAGCCTATATGGCATTTTCAAATATTCGTGTTACTTTTCCTCCTGAGCTACTTTCTGTAGTGATTCCTACTGGCTAAAACACAAGAATTATCTTCTTGCCCAAAAAACTCAAACCTCACGTTGTGATTTTGTTCAGAGTTTTGAAATGTTTTTTCCAGAGATCAATGCTTCAGATTCGTCGATCTTAGCTTTCCCTTGGGTATCCGATTTCTCTTTTGCAATCTTCATTATGGAGATAGGATGCAGGCAAGTTCCCTTAAAAACGTATGCATTCAGAGAGCCAATTAAATTCAAGGCTCAGGCATGCAGTAATTATCTGCATAAATAGACCAAAGGGCATATCAGGATTCACAACGCACTAAATGCTAATGGAGCCGTGGAACAACATGACTCTGACTCATAGTCTTGATTTATTATAAAGGCGCTACTACATTGCAACAGCTAGTTTTATTCTGACCTCTTAGGAATCAAATCCTTGTAGAGAGAAATAATAAATAGCCACAATTATGTATATGCTGAAGGAATACATACCTACTGATGGGAGCTTAAAAAGTTGGGTAAATAAGTAACCAATTTGGAACGATGCACCACGTGGAACCTCAGTAGGATTCAGTACAAATATTCCTGAACTGTTGCACAAATCGGGCTACCCTACAATTTAGCAATCAAGCCGTCTCTTAGGTCAAGCTTTGGTTTAGAGTCTTTGAGCAGGTTGCCTGTTGGGTCACTTCAAAGCTGACAGCGATCTCCATTCTTCCCTTCCCTACCTGCATCTGCCTTCTCACCCGCTGCAGCATCTACATCCTAGACCAGTGGCTCTCAACAGGGGAGGGCCACGAGCAGGTTTCAGGGGGTCTGCAGGTGTTGCAGGTCTGGCATGATTGTACCCTCTGAGGTCAGCTGGGGCAGCCCACACCCCAGCTGAGCCTGCTGTCACTGCCAAGTTCATGGAAAAATGCAGATATTCTCATTTAAAGAAGAAAACCCTGGGAAATGGCGGGTTTCCCCTTGCTGGTTGGCAGCGTTCCAGCCTGCAAGGGGCTGCTTGGGGCTGGGGGGAGCAGAAGGAGGCTGATACAACACACAGCATCCAAGCAGCGGTGGAGAGCAGCTCCTGCAGCTCCCCGCAGGTAAATTGGTGGAGGGGTAAGGGGGGACGTGCTTCCCCCCACCATTTCTGCACCGACAGTGGGCACAGAGCTGCAGTCTGGGCACAGGACAGTGGAGCAGGGCAGTGAGACTTGTTGCTGCTGGGACCTAGCAGGACCCCCAGACCAGCTGCACCGCCACCCACGGTAGGACTAACCAACTAGGGGGAGCCATGCTGCCCTCACATTCCACCACCAGAGAGGTGGTGGGGTGTCGTGCAGGTAGCCAGGCCATGCTCCCCCCCCATCCCACACCCCCTGCTCTGCTGTGGGTTGGGAATGAGGGCCACTGGCAAGGCCATGGGGAAGTCCAAAAAGGTTGAGAACCACTGTCCTAGACTATCCGCTCAACACTGCCCCTGCCAACACTTACATACATGCTTATTTTTTTTTTTTTTCTTTACACGTCTGAATAATCTCGTGGAAGTCAATGTGAAAACCTGTAATTTTGTAGAATTAAAAAGCGTAGAATTAAATGTCTTCACAGGATTGGGACCAAACTATATCTCCATGGGTCCCTTGGTCTCTGATAGCTAGAAAATTATATTTGGAGATTTGCTTTTAGGTATTGGCACTTAGGTAAAGTAGATATTGCATTAGAACAATGGTTCAGAGCAACAGCACGGGTTAACTGGTTTTTAAGTCTATTTGTGACAAAGTTTCCTTCAAGGCCCACTTTGTCTGGAGCCAGAAATTGAAGACATGTACCACACTGTTCCCTGATAATCCATAACACAAGATAGGCTTGTCACATTGGCTAGGTCACAGTGACCAGCTGCAAAGCCCCTGGGATTTCTGGTTCTGGTGGATGGACTGAATTAGGAGGCTGGTGCATGCCCAAATTAAAACACCAGTAAATGACCAAATGAAGATGTGTACATGTGATGGGTTGTTGGAACAAAGGAATAGGCTGACTGGACAGAATGTGGACAGGATGACAACCACAGGGAAACCAATCAACGGTACCCAGAGATGAAGAGTCACCAGAGGTGAGAAAGAATAAAAAAGGAGGGATTTCAGAGCTACAAAGGGTCCCTGAGGGGGGGATCCTGAGGCCACCATGGGCAGAAGATATATCACCTGCCCATCTCACCCACCCACCCCACTAGGGTGGAGTGGGGCTTGGCCCTTCGCCTCCAGGTTGCTGTCATCTGACATTCAAGAAAGAACCACAGGTTGAAGCCCACATACTGGCCAGACATACCTTCCCTCTGTGACAGCCTTAGGACCGATAGATATAGAATCGGGGGTGGGGGAGGTGGTATTTTGTTTGCCTTGTCTGCATTATTCTCATCTGCGATCACCATGTATCAATAAAATTTGCCTAGTATCGCATGGAAGAAGTCGGGTTTGGTCTGAGGGTTGGGGTCCCCCCAGAACAAGATACCTGGGTCAGAAATCCAGTGCCAGCTGTCCCCAATACCCACATTCCCTGGTCCTAAATGCATAAATCATGATTAAAGCATGGAAGCAACTTGTAAAGTGAGACACACATTAGTACCAAAGTACAGCAGATGTAAACACCAAGTCTCCAACTGGAAAGAGAGATAGGTCTGTTGACCCTGAAGACACACACTTACAACGAGAGGCCCCCGGTTGTTTTCACGGTACTTATTCTGGAAGAAGATGTAAACCACAGTGGCTGCCAGCGAGTAGAGGAAGGCAAAGACCGCGATTGTGACGAAGAACTCCGCCGAGGAAGAGAAGTCCCCGATTAGAAACAGCTTTTCCCGTCGTTTGCCTTCACAGGTGGGTGCATCGAAGTTCACCTGATGCAACCTGAAAAACCCCAAACAGGAGAAAAATAGGTGGGAAAAGGTGAGAGACTTATTATCTGCTAATCTGATCCCACATGACTCATGCTCACGTCCATTTGAAAACATGCAAGTGAGCAATCCTGTTTATTGGAGTTCTTCACGTGCTGAAGGTTACCTGTAGATACAAGTGTCTGCAAGACTGGGAATTAATCTTGTATTGTAAAGCCATTCTATCAATAAAAAACACCTATAAGCAGCAACTTGTTAACTGTTTCACAACAAAATCTAATGTAATTAGAAAGGTTTATACAGAAAGGTAAAATTCCTTTTCATTCAGCTCTACAAGATGTCTGGGATGTTTGCTATTGCGACCATCGAAGAGTGAATCTGCTAGAAAAAGCTTGGATTCTTAAAAACAAGGAATAAAAGCAAAAACCAGGTGGCAGGACAGTCCAAAAAGACAGACAAACATCTTGCAGTTCACCAGCTTACCAAACCCTTAAAATAAATCCAGGCCTTACTGATTTCTACATCTTGAACAGTGCATGGTTTCCCATGGGGTTTTTAGTCATGACTACTATATGGGACTTTAATGTGTCTGCAGTGTGGTTGCACCAGGACTGCCCAGGGAGAAGGCTGGTTATCCAGCCCATTCAACACCCAGAACAAGGTCTGTGGAAGAAGCCTCTCTCTGCCTCAATGCACTGGGCTCTGTTCCCATCACTTGCATGAATGGGTATCAACATTGGGACAGTCGGGTTTGGGGTTTTTTTGGTAATACGAACATTTCCCAGCAAATAGCAGTTGGAAGGCTTCCCTTTGAGTGTGATATCATTTCAGTTTGCCCTTGCCACTCTACTCTGTTATCTGTGCACACTCCAGGCATCTAACTCAGGAGCCCAAGCACAGCTCCTATCACGGCTGTGGCTCTGATAGAAATTCTTTGAAACATGGGAAATACTGATGCCTCTATGCATGGTCAGTGCTGTCTGCTGGGAAGGGGTCAGACAGATTTCTCCAGCCTTTACTGCCTGCTTTTGGAGAACCACAGGGCCCCTTTCATTTCAGCATGAGAAGACAAGCATAGGATATGATATACCTCTGATACCCTCCCAAAGAACTCTGTGCACAGGGATAGCCAACTAAAGGACGGGCAGGGCAGCAAGGCCAAACTCAATGAATGAGAAAGAGGTCAACAGAGACCGCTATGCTTTGACTTGAATGGTCATAAGCCACAAGTCACTGCTAGAGGGAGAGCTTGGAAGTGACTGTGGGTAGATATCTAAACTCATTAGCTCAGTGGCTGCTAGGAGCAACAAAAGCAAATAGTCTCTGAGTGCAAGGACACAGCGCCAGGCAAAAAACATTGCTCCACATGCTGCGGGTGACACCCTGCCTGGAGTTAGTCTGACCAAGTCTGTTATATCAAGACAAGTCAGGAAGGAATCTGGGCAAGGAACGGCAGGCGGGGATTCAAGTGAGCACAGGGGAGGGTTAACCGAGGGCAGCCCGGCACAGTGCAGGCACCGTCCTGCCAGGGGTAGAGGAGATGACTCAAAAAGTAGCAGCAGTTTCCCAAAAATAAAGTCATGATGCAAAGCAATGAACAGGCTGAGCCATCTGGGAGACATTCCTTAACACGGAGCATTCCTTAACACGGAAGGTAATTAATGTGTGCAAACCGAAGGCTAAAGGCAGCTGCTGCCGCGACTGTATTGCTAAATAGACAGCTAGGCCCTTCGAGTAAAATAAAGCATCCGCAGCAGATATCGTACAAGGGAGAGGAATGGATTGGGGGTTGTATGGCTCTTTCCTTTTCCCAGCCCAAGGGGAAGGTGTGGAAGGAACTTCTCGTCGGTGGCTGTGCGCAAAGACGTTTATTTGTTGCAGAAATATTTTGCGCCCAGTTTCTGCTGCCATCAGCACTGGGTGGCTAAAAAAATCACCTCGCCACCCGGACTGCAGTATTCTGGAGCTGTGCGGTAACACACTCTTT